GGAAACCGACCTCGCCGTTCCATCAGTCCATGCCCATATCACTCGCTGCCACCAAATCTGGGACGAGACCAGGGCCGCCCTCTTGCGCACAGCCGACCAAAACAAACGCCTGGCCGATCGCCGCCGTAGGGCCGTTCCTACCTACCAGGTTGGGCAACAGGTTTGGCTCTCGGCCACCCACATTCCCATGAAAGGGGGACGCCCCAAATTGTCTCCCCGGATCCTGGAGTCTTTTACCATCCAGGAAGTCCTCCATCCCACTGCTATAAAACTCTCATTGCCTGATACTCTCCGTATTCACCCTCTGTTTCATGTCTCCCAGATCAAGCCTGTGTCCTCCAGTCCCCTCTGTCCACCACCAGCTGCACCTCCAACGGCCCTTGAGGTGGAGGGTGGCCCAGCATACACAGTACGGCAGATCGTGGATGTCCACCCCAAGGGCTGGGGATTCCAATTTCTGGTGGACTGGGTGGGTTACAGTCCGGAGGAACGGTCCTGGATTCCCCGATCATTTATTCTGGATCCTGCCCTTCTCGACACCTTCTACCGCACTCACCCGGGCAAGCCTGGGGGCCCCTTTTTTTTTAGGCGGCGGCCGCTCTGGCAGCAGCCATGCCAGGGGCTGGAGGGGCCAAATCTGAAGCCAGAGGCAACGGCCCTCTGCCTGGAGGAGGAGGGCTCATGGAGGAGATGAGTGCCCTGTTAGCAAGGAGGTAGCGACACATCATATATTACTCTTCGATTCAGTACGTCTCAAAATAGGCACTTGAGTCATATGAATGAATTTCAGATCTTGTTTCATATACTACAGAAAAGTGAAACTTGACACAGTTGCCATACAGTAGATTTAGCAAACCCCAATGTTGGTCGCAATGGATTTTGTTGTGCCACCTGAAGAATAAGTTCATGTACTCATCACTCTCACTATTCCTCAGTATTATGAGATGATATGTAGTAAAATCGTAATTTAAATGCACTTTGTTGCTGACAGAGAAGTATCACTGTAAGATCTAGAGAAATCTAAGGAATTTAGGTTTTAAAAATGTGGAGTTCAGGAGGAATTGTGTGGTCTGTGCTTTATGATATTAACATTAAACATGATGATATGTTTTTAAAAATAGCAACTGTTTTTCAGAAATAATTCTGGACTCTGTCTTACAGGAGAAGAATTGCAGAGAAGGGCTCATCACCTGAACCTGACCAGAGATCAGTAAGTACCATTATTTAAAAGTTGTAAGATGATGTCATGGGGTAGGACTGGATAAGTCTGACTTCTTCCTACTCCGTTCAAGCATGTACTAGGTATAAGCAAATTGATATTGGATTAGCATTTGTTGGATATGTGTGAAATTACATGTGTTGACATATCAACTGTTTTACATGCTTGAATGAATAAATCAAATCAAATGTGCTTTTAAAAACCCATCATCCCACCACTATGACTAACTAAATCACAGCTGGACTTGTTTCCACCTACTAAATCCTTCCAGTCAGATCAGTTTGCTGCCAAAATGCCATAGTAAAATGGGAAAAGGTAATGCACTGAATATCTGGCTCAGATTACTACTGTATGACTGTGGATCATCTTCAAGTAAACCTCAGGCAGCATTAAAAGCAAAACAATTATTCTTTCAATTACATCTGAATAAATTCAAGAAATCCAAACAATGCCGAGAGCAGAGGTGAACCTGGGTCTCAGTGCTGTTCTTTATCACTTCGCTTCATTACAGTAGACCTAATAGTGTCTTACATGGATAACAGCTTTAGTTTGAAACTGCTTTCAAATGTGTTTTGCTGCTGCATCATGTACAATTCCTGCAGAGACTTCTGGAAATCGAGAGGTTCAGCACCTGTAGGCACAGACTAACACGTCAAGAGCAGCACTGAAGTCTTCCACACCTCATTAAGATTTGATTATCCCATATCCCCAGGAGTAATGTAATTAGTGTAAGCAGGGGCAGAGTAGAAAGGCTGATTGCAGCCCTGCCCCGCTGCCCTGGCCTGTACCGCTCATCCCTGCGAGCTCGGAGACCTACATACTGTGTCACCAGCTTAATCCTCCACTGATCATCACCTTCTCGCCACCAGCCAGTGACTCCTCATAGCCTCAGCTGACCAGAGACTTCTACAAAAGTTCCCATCAGAGCTAAAAATGAGCCTGAGCTTTGAGGCCCGTCTTGCTCTGATGGGATGTGACAGGCTGAACGCGAGGGACAAAACTCCAAATCAACAGTATGCCCCATCGACTGCTGAATGACTCTGTTGCTTCTTGATCCCTCAGGCCTTTCGATATGAGCTCACAGCTGAGATATTTTGGGCATTGCAGCCAAGTCAAACAACCTCGCAGATTAAAAATGCTGCTGTTGTGTCACTACCTCTCTGCAGCGGCCACTTGAGTCTTTTCAAAATAAATGATAAATGCCATCATAACCACTTGTTTGTGAATAAATCATTCTACTCTTAGACACGAATGAAGGCATCGGACTGTGTCGAGTCTGTCTTTCACAACAGCCCTACAGAGGAAATATCTTCATTTAATCTGCAGATAGCAGTGACTAGTGTGGATCTCTATGGCTCAAGAATGCAAATGGATTTCTGTGGCTTTTTTTGAAAATCACATACACAAAAAGCTGCTCTCCCTCCTCCTCCTCCATCTGTTTGTATTTACACTCACTCCAGAGCGAGCCCCTCTTTCACCGGCTTCATAATTACAAGATGAAGTAAGTTGAATTCCACTTAATTAGGACCTGAGGGCAAAGAGAGAGCAAGAGTTACTTCACACAATTAGCCCCGGGGTGATAAGAGTACCATGTTTTGACAAAAAAAAAGAGGGAATGTACTGTATTAACAACAAAACATCGTGTTTATACCAGTGTGTTTACTGGGGAAAAGACAATGCAGAGTGCACCATATTAGGTATTTGCACTACTGAGAAGTTCTAGATACTAATGATCAAGAGAATTCATGTTTTCCTTTAAGGCGCTCATTAAAATCGTGCAGTAGTCAACCTAGTTAACCTATACACTGATGATTTGGAGGGATTATGAACTTGACATACAGTATCAAGTTAATCCATCAAACAAGAGAGGGTTATGCACAAGTACAATCCATAAAATATATATTCCTTTAATATTATTACCATTTTTGTCAACTCCACTTGATTTCACCATCATGTCTGTGGGTTTTTCTCTGCTATTTCTAAATTGGCAGAAAAAAATACTTTGTAAAACTCAGCTTGAAAGCTGACAAATATGGTATTTCCAAGATGGAAGCTTTTAATCTGCCACCATCCGAAAACCAAAGCCAAGAAAGAAAGTTTGAATAGATACAAATATATACAGAAGTGTCAGTGTATTTCTAAGGTTGTTTTGGGGAAAAAAAACAAAAACAGGCTTCCAGTTATTACATATGACTAATGAAATTTGTCTTGGTATATTATCAGGTAAACAGGAAGGGCCACAAACCAACAGTACGCATTTCCTACTTCACACTTGACACTGGAGCCCTCATGGTAAACAAATGAATGACCAGCAGACAGCAGCTCTCTCTAGCGTCTTCCATTAGGCTTTGTAGCTGTTGTGTCCTCTACAGTGCACTTTAATGGCTGCCAACACACCTCTTCCTCTGCCACTAGCTTTCACACGAGCCCAGAGGAGGGGGAGTCTCATGGATCTCCCATCAGGGGTTTATAGTCTTGAGCACTGGGCCAGGTTGGAGAAGACAGCTGGTTGATTTATTTTTCTCTTCATGAGTGAGGCAGCAGGACAAGGGCACAGTGACCCTTTTGAAACAGCCTTGAACGAGCCCGCACGCGTCCATGCGTGTGTGTCTGAGTGATGTCCATTGCAGTGTGTGAATGTTGCCGTTAATGAGTGATGCTGGTGTCTGCTGGAGTCTGACGCCCAGACCCAGGTCTTCCTCATATATCAGGCTCTCTGAGAAGACTGTTTTGACAGCTGGCTGTCACTGTTTAAACGTGAATGATGTTCACATGCTCCTTGATTCATAGTCAAGATGTTTCATTGAAGACTGCGCCACGCAGTCCGTTTTCTATCGACTCTATAACGGCCTATAAAAGTCAGAAAATGGTCAAAAATGTCCATCGCAATTTCCCAAAGCCCATGGAAGGTTTATCTATTTTTAGAACCGATGGCTGCCGGTCATCCAATCTCAACATAACCCTAGTTAAAGTGGCATGCTGTTAAGAGCAGCAAAGCAGTAGTACACACAGTATGCGGTAGCCTGAGTCAGTAAGAACTGATATATGTTGGTCATAAGTGGCAGAGACATGAGTAACATATCAAAAATGGACACATGCCACTAGAACAAGAGTGAGATACCATCAGCCAGGGTTCTATGCTGCTTGAAGTTACTGCACCACACTCGGCACCAGTTTAACTTCACGATTAATCTTTGTACTTTAAGTTGTTCATCTGACCCAGTGTTCAATCTCCATATCCCATATTCTCCATTTCTATTTCCCCAATATCCAATTTATGGCCTACATCTCTGCAGTTCTAATGTGCAACCACATTTCCTCCCCAGAGTCAAAGCAAAACTCAGATCCAAAGTCCCCTCTCTCTCAGCAGGGCTGCCTTTCCACAATCCTGCCTTCTCATCAGTCTATAACCTCATATCAAATGAGGAAGATGTTTGATGTCTGCAGCCTTTTAGCAATCATACACACATGACATCCAGAATATATTACTGCCCTGCACTGTCTGTGACCTCGGTGGAAGATTTAAGTGCCACAGCGGGCTGAGTGAAGGGAAACATG